GGAATCAGGAACAGCTTCTGGAAGCAGAAAGATTTTGAGCCGATCCTGAAAAATATCCAGGGAGATGGGAGGGCAGGGGGAGAAGGGCAGGGGAGCAGGGGTGGTGAGGCAGGTACTTGCTCCAGGCAGGGAGTGACATGAACAAAACCACAGAGATCGGAGTGGAATCGGGGTTGCAGGGGTGGTGGGAGGGGCTGGGTCGGGTGCTGGCGAGCTGCTCAAGCGTCAGCTCAGTGCACGTGTCATTCTGCTCTGCCAGTGAGCTCCAAAACCCGCCCAAGACATGAGAATTTACTGGGAGCCCTAACAAAGAGGCGCACATTTTTGGAACAGGGAAAAATGGGGAGAGGGGAGCTGATATAAGGCAGACAGGGTCCTGGGAGGATAGTGTCTCCCAGCTAGGCCACATGGGACAGGGTATTATTGAGCAATGGATAAAGCAACTGCTTCAGGTCAGTGATTTATTTCCAATAAACCAAACCCAACTGAAAGAACTCAGTCATAGGTAGAAAGAGTAGAACTTCCTGGAACTCAAGCCTTCAACTTCCAAGGGTAGGGAGAGAGGTAACAGAAGGTTAGGACTCCTCAGGGGCCAGGCACAAAGCACTTCAGAAAGGGTACAGGCCCACACCTAGGGTCTAGAAGGGCCTGAGAATGATGCCAGTTCAATTCTCGCTCAAAGCAAAGTCTCAGTAGTCAGCTCTAGTACCCAACCTGTTTAGCCTAACGGTGATGGATTCCTAAGGCAAAACCTAGAGAGATTTCTAGGAACCTTCCAGGAATGGAGGCATGATCCCATTTACCTACCAATATAGACCAAAGCCAACAAACCAGAAAACTATGGGATATTTATTGAATCATGACATCACCACCCAGCATTTATCTTTTACTATTAACTCCATGTGGCCTTGAAATGATTAACAATGCAATCCTTAAATAAAAAGATGTCGTGTATTTGCTTTAGGAAGTCAGCAAGAATGGGGAGATGATAAGCACTTTTCAGAGGCCAGTTTCCAGACATGTTGTCTACAATCTACTTTTGCATCAGAATCGCCCGGCTGCCCAAAAAAGGCATCAAAATCTGAGTGATGGGGCCTGGAATGGAACTTTTTACCAAGGGCCTCAGGCTATTCTTAGGCAAGTCAAAATTCTGATACTCCCTTAACTTTGTGGGCAAGGGAATGAATCGGGCAGAAAGGAGGCAACAGAGAATTGGAAGAAGAGAGAGAATATTATGATGGTTAATTTTATGTATCAACTTGGCTTGGCCACAGTGACCAGACATTTGGTCAAATATTATCCTGTATGTTTTTGGATGAGATTTTCATCTAAATCAGTAGATTGTGAGTGGATGGGCCTTGTCCAATTAGTTGAAGACCTGAAGAGAACAAAAGGCTGACCCTCCCCCAAGCAAGAGGGAATTCTGCCCACAGACGACTTTTGGACTAGAACTGTAACTCTTTTCTAAGTCTCTAGTCTGCTTGTCTCCCCCAGAAGATTTTGGGCTCACCAAGACACCAAAATTGCATGAGCCAATTCCTTAAAACAAATCGAGAGAGAGAGAGAGACACATGTGTGTATGTGTGTACATGTATGTACATGTGTGTGTGTATACACACACATCTCATCCCATTGGATCTGTTTCTCTGGCAAACCTGACTAATACAAATCTCTTGTCCTTGATGGACAAGGTCCAGAATCTTCTTTGGATCTAAAGAGTGCTTACAGCCCAAGCTAACGAACAGCCCCACGTGGACTCCCTGACAGTTACCCGTAAGATAATTAAGGAATTAATCACCAAATGGGCAGCAGCTAGTAGCCTAACAACCTTGGTGACAAAGGTCAAAGAGAACTAGTGGGCAACAGTTTAGGGCTTTTTTCATAAGGAGAAGGAACGATCAGAGTCAACTCCTGTGACAAAGGCAGTTTTCAGAAACAGAGAGCTCCTTCTAGCGTTGACGTCAACATTTACAAAGACGCTCCCGGAAGGAACGGTGTGATCTCAAGAACAGCAAGCTTGAGCCTCATCACGAACCCCCCGTCACTTGGAACTGTGAGATATGCCCAGCCAAAACACATCTGACAGAAAAGAAACGAGCTCCATTACCAAATGAGAGTGGTTTGGAAATAGCAGAATTGCTTTTATTCTGATGGATGATCTAATAAAAAGATATAAAAATGATTAGAAACAATAAAATTAAATCACAAAATACAGATCTATCTGTTTTGTGCTATGGAATGGGATTCTTACATTGGGTAGAAGGGTGCACTATGTAACTTCTAACTTTAGGAAACAGTAAAAAGAAAGAAACATAATCACAACAGTCTTTTACTGCTAGCAAACTTCTCCTAATATGCTGAAACAGGGACAGCCACTATCATAAAGAGTCACAAGTAGACACAAAAAACATCAACCACCCTTCCAGTCCCCTGCCCCTCCCACGGGGAGATCAAGTCCCACCAGACCCTTCTCTCCAAGATAACAGTGTGACCCAAGGTGACAGGTCTTAGACTGGAGGTGGTCATTCCTGCCTCCTCATCTGCTGAGAGGCACCAACAGGCCATTAGATAAGATTACTGGCCACCACTCCCTTCACTGCATTGAAGGTAAAAGCAGCATCAACAACAGCAGAGGCTCTACGTTCCACAAATGCAGGTCTCAGTGGCGGAGCTGAGAGGTAGGAAGGAGAGGTGTTATCTCACAGGCACTAGAAGCTCCTCGGAGAAATTGGCACCCCCTGATGAAGATGTGCTTCCTCTGAAATGATCTGCTAAAATTAGTAAGGATCCTCCACCAAGGCTTGTGAGTTGCTTTTTTCACGTTGACAAGGTTTGCCAAGTTACCTGCAAGGTACTAAATACCTCTATTGCCTTTGCAATGAGTCCAACCTAAGCCCCCAGGCAGAGTCTCCCGGCCACAGCTCTCGCTGGGCAATCTGTCTTACAGGTTCAAGGTGTCCCCAGAAGGGTCAGGCATAATAACAGAAAGCTCACAATGAGTCTTCCTCAGACAAGCATTCGGAGCACAGCCCTCGGTTGCTCATTTAAGACACTTCCCTTTTGCCAATATTATCTTTTTCAGAGCCAATCAGACCTTAAAATTGTTCACTGGGAATGGTGAGAGTGCACCGGGGAGGGTCTCCACCTCCCTGCTGTGGGGGCTCACCCAGAAGGCCTCTGCTTTTCCAGTCTCTCACCCTTCATCTCTTCTGGAACCTTCTTATCAGATAAGTTCTCCATGGCGTCCACATCCTTTCTCCAGTTATTCAACCCCTCCCTGGCCTTGGCTGTCACAGGAGAACACTCAGTATCCTTTATGGGTTTTTTTGGGTTTTTTTTTCCTGTAAAATGCATTGATAAATGGGGCTTCCCTCAGGAAGGGGAGCAGAGTGGTCCAAACTGGCGCGGACAGAAAACCACAGGATGGAAAGGGCGGGCGTGGCTTTGTAAAAGGAACCTCCTCAGGCTCCACCTCCGGGCTTCATTCCAGTCTCTCCTCACCCCTGAAAGCAGGGATACGGTTTTGGCTTTGGTTCACATTCATGCCGAAACTATCATTCCCACTACTCTCTTGGGTCCCTGGCCACAGTCTGGCCCCTCCAGGGAATGTCTTACAGGAAAAAGGTGCATTCCATCAACTGCGATATGACACCTCAGACAGAAAGTCACACGTTTTCCAAGATGACAAGGGCAGTATTTGCACGTGGCTTCCAACATTCCCTTTGTCAGCCCCGTTCCTTTCCCTTGTCAAAAAAAAAAACTTCACGGTCAACTAGCACGAATGTGCTAACCATTCCCCAAGAAAATTCACCTGCGCTACCCTCAAAATCGGTCTAAAGCAAATCACACTCATTTGGGGCTTATTTAGGGCCCACTACTCTAGCTTTAAATTCAAAACATTGTGAACAAAAGCATGTGTCGTAACTGGCGAGAAAAAATTAAGGAAAGGTGCCGGAGACGACGCAGCAGTGGCGGAGGAATGGGCGTCCCTGGCAGCAAGGCGTGGAGTCTCCCTCCTCGGGGATCTTCAGGCGGAGGCCCGGGTCCGGGTCTGTAAAACGGTCTGCAGGGAGCTATCTGGTGGCCGGAGACAGCCTTCATGACTGCTACGATCTGTTCACCTGACCCTAGACTTCCTGTCAATTACTCAGAAACAGGAGGCCGAGGAGAGTACACTCGGGCGACTGCCGCTGGCCCCAGCACCACAGTGTCAGGGGACAAGGGGGCAGGGGCTCAGGTCTTCCAGAGCGGACGTGGCTCCACAGGAGCTAAGCTCTTCTCGTCCTGGCCTCTCCTCTTATGTCCGTGACCCGTTATTGCGCATGGCAATGCAAATAGCCTGAGGCGGACAATGACCACATCGCGAAGCAACTGGTCCCAGAATGGGTAAATAAATGACTATGCTCACCATTCTTCCTTCCATTTTTTTGATCTTATTCATCAGATTTAACGAATGACTGTTTCTTCTCTACAGAATCTGCTACTTCAGACCAAAGCAAGAAAATCTATCATTGCACAACTTATACAATTGCTTTAAAGCATATGGAGAGTTTATGTACTTTATCACATGTCACATACTAACATCTCATGGAAACCAGAAACGTGAGCACTTTTTCAGCAAACGCACTTGTTCTCTCCCCTTTCATCCTTGCTGTATGTCCACGGGACACTTCTCCTGTCCCAATGGTTTTAATGCCATCATATTTCAGAGGAGTCCCAAAGTGAAACTTTCAGCCCTGATGTTTCTAACTACTCATGTTCTAAGTCCAACCACCACTAAAATCTTAAAATTACTCCCTTAATTCTCTGGGCAAGGGATTTAATTGGGTAGAAGAGAGGCAACAAAGAATTAGAAGAACAGACAGGATCTTGGGATAGTTAATTTTATGTACCCATTTAGTTTGACACATATATACAGCCAAGATGCAAGGGGAGAGAACACACACTTACGTATGTATTTATTTATTTAGATATTTACAAGCTGCCAGGCCTCCCCTTACCTCCGATGGCTTCGTGGTGCATTTTCCTTTTCCTGAACACTCCAAGTCGCCTGCGTGGCTGTCCCCCGGCACACAGGTGCTGGCCTTCACCACCAGAGTTAAGCGCAAAGCCACAATAGATTTGGTAACAGAATCATTCACAAAACCTGAAAGAAAATGGGACAATAGAAAATGTAAAGTAAAACCTTCCCAACAGTCTTTCTACAAGACCACAAATTTAGCTGAGGCAGCATTCAAGTCTGACAAACAAAACAAAATACACAAAGGAATAAAGCACATGGCTACTGTCCATTCAGACCTCAGGGCTTCCCAAACCTCCAGAGGAACCCCTAAGACCAAGGAAAAGCAGTGCCAGGCACCTGTGTTGTCACCTCAGGTCCTCTGGCTTTGCTCCCTGAAAGCCGTCGTTTCTTCCAATTCCATCCCTGTGCTCGCATCTAAGATTCAATCTCTGCTTTGGATCCCCAGTCTTCTCCCAGGGAGCGACTTGCCTGCATCACCCAACTCTTCCTCCTCCTGACTACTCTGGATAGTACAAGTGCTGGGAATCCCCAGCAGCCCCACCCAGTTACCTGCCTGCCCCAGCAGCTGTTAGTCCCCTTACAGGTGGGCGTGCAATACAGGTACGCATTCTACACTGGGTTTATTAATGACTTTCTTACTTGATCACCAGTCTGACTGCATGGTATCAATGCAAGTCATGTGGGTTTAGCCATCTAATAAAACAGGACTGGTCATAGTTAAATATGGATTGCAATATCATTGACACGTCATATTTGTCATTGAATGATCTCTATGTCTGGTGCAGCCATTAGTACAAATAGGTTGGCAATAAACGTGGAATAAACTGATGAATAAATAGAGCCTCTAACAAACAGAGAAATAGATACTATAAGTATTTTTGTATAAATGATTAAATTATTTCACTAAGTGAGCTTTTTTCTAATAATATCCATTTATGTCTAATTTTTAATTTTAGAACAAAATATTCAAATGTCTGAATGTGACAGACTATTCAATACGATTTTCAGTTCTGTCTAAAAGTAAGATTAAGTGGAAAAAGTCTCAATATCATGAAGCCACATCCACAGATATTTTTACGAAAGATTTTTAGGACTAAAGTGGTACCAGGAACCAGGAGGGGAAAGATAGAAGTGAAAGCAATTGATTCCAGGGCAACTGAAATGACTTTCATTATCAGGAAAAAGTGCGTTTGGATCCCTGCCTTACTCCATACACAAAAATAAAGCTAGATGGCTTAAAGATTAAAATGTGAACTAAAAAATCTTAAAACTCCAAATGGAAAATATTGGGGACTGTTTCATTCACCTTAGGGTAAGGTATTTTTTAAACAATAACCATAAAGATAGATTAGTCAATTTAACTTTAAATTATATATAAATAACCATCATAAACAAAGATAGTAAAGACGACACAGGCTTTTCACAGGAAATGAAATCTATAATGCATAAAACCAGCCAATGATTAGCTATCAGGATATATAATTTTTTTGCAACTTGATTTTTTTCAACTTTATACTTATATAAGTATTACAAGCTATAAATTATTAATAAGCATTGTTATGCATTGATATGTACCCAGTAAAAGTATATAACAGTGTATGGAAAGAAACACATCAACCTCAAGCGAAAGAGGAAAGGAAATGGGGGTGGGCAGGGAGAGAGTTTCTGGCTGTACATATAATATTTTATTTTTTCATTAATAATACATAAAGCAAATATGGCAAAACATTTACTAAATCGTGTGTACAAAGAAGCCTTATAATCATTTCCACAGTTATTTCATTATGCATATTAAGTACTGTGTAATGAAATTTCTAATTTATTTACTTTTTATTTCAATAGATTAGGTGGTACAAGTGGCTTCTGTTACACATATGAACTGTGTAATGCTGAAGTCAGGGCTTTTAGTGTACCCATCACCAGCACAGTGTACACTGTACCCAAAAGTAGATTTTTATCCCTGATCCCCTTCTTAGCTTTTAATATCCATTATACCACTGTATGACCATATATACCCATCATTTAGCTCCCACTTGTAAGTGAGAACATGAGGTATTTCTGTTTCCATTCCTGAGATATTTCACCAGGATAATGGTCTCCAGTTCCATCCAAGTTGAGGCAAAAGTCATCATTTCATTCCTTTTTATGGCTGAGTAATACACCATGGTGTGTGTGTGTGTGTGTGTGTGTGTGTGTGTATGTACACACACCATATGTATATGTATATATGTATATGTATATATCACATCTTCTTTATGCGCTCACCAGCTAATGGGCACTTAGGTTGATTCCATATCTTCACAATTATGAATTATCCTGTGATAAACATTTGGGTGGAGGTGTCCCTTTTATAAAATGACTTCTTTTCATTTGGGTAGATACCCAGCAGTGGGATTGCTAGATGGAATGGTAGGTCTACATTTAGTTCTTTGAGGAATCTCCATACTCTTTTCCATAGAGGTTGTACTAATTTACATTCCCATCAATAGTGTATAAGCATTTCTTTTGACCACATCTTTTTTTTTTTCTTACTTTTTCATAATGGCCCTTCTGACAGCAGTAAGGTGGTATCTCATTGTGGTTTTAATTTGCATTTCCCTGATGATTAGTGATGTTGAGAATTTTGTCATATTTGTTGGCTATTTGTCTTTATTCTTTATAGAAAAATCTGTTCATCTCTTTTGCCTACTTTCTGATGGGGTTATTTGGTTTTTCCTTACTGATTTGTTTGAGTTCTTTGTAGATTCTGGATATTAGCCCTTTGTCAGATGAATTGTTTGCAAATATTTTTCCCACTCTATAGGCTATTTACTATGTTGATTATTTCCTTTGTTGTGCAGAAACGTTTTAGTTTAATTAAGTCTCATTTATTTATTATTGTTGTTGCTGTATTTGCTGTGGGGATCCTGTCATAAATTCTTTGCCTAGGCCAATGTCCAGAAGAGATTTTCCTATGTTTTCTTCTAGAATTTTTATGGTTTCAGGTCTTATATTTAAGTGTTTAATCCATCTTGAGTTAATTTTTGTATATGGTAAAAATAGGGATTCAGTTTCGTTCTTCCGCATGTGGCTCTCCAATTTTCCCAATCCCATTTATTAAATAATGTGTCCTTTTCCCAGCATGTTTTTGTCTGCTTTGTCAAAAATAAGTTGGTTGTAGCTATATGGATCTATTCTCTATTCTGTTCCACTGGTTTATGTGTCTACCTTTATACCAGTACCATGCTATTTTGGATACTATAGCCTTGTAGTATAATTTGAAGTCAAGGAATGTGATGCCTCCAGATTTGTTCTTTTTGCTGAGGACTGCTTTGGCTATTTAGGTTCTTTTCTGGTTCCATATGAAGTTTAGGATTATTTTTTCTAGATCTATGAAAAATGCCTTTGGTATTTTCATGGGAATTACACTGAATCTGTAAATCACTTTGAGCAGTATGGACATCTTATCAAAACTGATGCTTCCAATTTAAGAGCATGGGATGCTCTTCTATTGTGTCATCTATGTTTTTTTCATCAGTGTTTGGTAGTTCTCCTTGTAGAGATATTTTACCTCCTTGATTAAGTATATTCCTAGACAGTTTCTTTTATTTGCAGCTATCATAAATGGCATTGAGTTCTTGATTTGACTCTCAGCTTGACTGCTATTAGAATATAGGAATGTTACTGATTTGTGTACATTGATTTTATAACCTGAGACTTTACTGAATTTATTTATCAATTCTAGGAGTCTTTTGGTAGAGTCTTTAGGGTTTTCTAGATAAAGATCATATCATCAGCAAACAGTAATAGTTTGACCTTGTTCCCGATGTGGATACACTTTATTTCTTTTTCTTGCCTGGTTGCTCTGGCTAGGACTTCCAGCACTATGTTGAATAGAAGTGGTGCCAGTGAACATACTTCTCTTGTTCTGGTTTTTAGGGGGAATGCTTTCAACTTTTCCCCATTCAGTATGATGTTGGCTGTGGGTTTTTCATATACAGTTTTTATTATTTGTAGGTATGTTCCTTTTATCTTGAGGGTATTTATCATGAAGGATGCTGGATTTTATCATATGCTTTTTCTGCATTTATTGAGATGATCATGGTTTTGGTTTTTAATTCTGTTTAGGTGCTGAATCACATTTATTGATTTGTATATGTTGAACCAACCCTAGGATTTACTTGATTATAGTGAAGACAATTATCTTTTTGATGTGCTGTTGGATTCAGTTTGCCAGTCGTTTGTTGAGGAGTTTTGCATGTATATTCATGAGGGATGGATATTGGTCTGCAGTCTTTCTTTTATTAGTTGTGTCCTTTCCTGGCTTTGGTTTCCAAGTGATACTGGCTTTGTAGAATGAGTTAGAGATAATTTCCTCCTTCTCAATGTTATAGAATAGTTTCAGTAGGATAGGTTCCAGTTCTTTGTAGGTCTAGTGGAATTTGGCTATAAACCTATCTGGTCTGGGGCTTTTCATTGTTAGGAGATTTTTTTGTTGATGTTACTTTTTCAATCTTGCTACCTATTATTGGTCTGTTCTGGATTTCTATTTCTTCCTGATTCAAACATGGAAGGTTGTATATTTCCAAAAATTTATCCAATTCCTCTAGATTTTCTAATTTGTGTGCATGAAGGTTTTCCTAGTAGTAATGGATGATATTTTGTATTTCTGTGGTATCAATTATAATGCCTTTTTTTAAATTTCTGATTAAATTTATTTGAGTACTTTCTTTTCTATTTCTGGTTAATCTAGCTAGTGGTTTATCAATTTTATTTATCTTTTCAAAGAATGCCTTGTTTTGTTGATCTTTTATATTGTTTTATTGGTTTCAATTTTGTTTAATTCTGCTGTTTGTTATTTCTTTGTTATTTCTGAGCTTTGTTATTTCTTTTCTTCTGACAGCTCTGGATCTGGTTCTTTTTCTAGTTTCTTGAGGTGTGACATTAAGTTGTTAATTTGTATCTGTTTTTTTGATATAGCTATTTAAGGCTATAAACTTCCCTCTTAGCACTTTTATTGTAGACCAGAGATTTTAGAAGCTTCTATCATCTTTGTTGTTCAGTTTTGAAAAATCTTTTGATTTCCATCTTGAATTCATCATTGACCCAAGGATCACTCAGCAGCAGGTTGTTTAATTTCCATA